TGTGAGGTTGTTATAGGATTGACAACCATCATGTCAAATGGCACGTGAGGTTGTCATAGGATTGCCTACCATCATGTCAAATGGCACGTATGTGAGGTTGTCATAGGATTGACTACCTTCATGTAAAATGGCACGTATGTGAGGTTGTGATAGCATTGACCACCATCATGTCAAATGGCACGTATGTGAGGTTGTCATAGGACTGACTACCATCATGTCAAATGGCACGTATGTGAGGTTGTCATGGGATTGACTACCGTCGTGTCAAATGGCACGTATGTGAGGTTATTATTGACTAATATTTGTGAGGATCAGCTTTACGTCAACAGTTTTGAGAGAGACTGTCAGACAGACAAAATATGCGTACATATAGACGTGAGCACAGTAAAAAAGAAAGAGTTTTGAGAGAGACTGTCAGATAGACACAATATATATACATATAGACGTGCGCACAGTAAAAAAAGAAAGAGTTTTGAGAGAGACTGTCAGACAGACAATATATGTATACATATAGACGTGAGCACAGTAAAAAAGAAAGAGTTTTGAGAGAGACTGTCAGACAGACAAGATATGTGTACATATAGACGTGAGCACAGTAAAAAAGAAAGAGTTTTGAGAGAGACTGTCAGACAGACAAAATATGTATACATATAGACGTGAGCACAGTAAAAAAAAGAAAGAGTTTTGAGAGAGACTGTCAGATAGGCAAAATATGTGTACATATAGAAGTGAGCACAGTAAAAAAAAGAAAGAGTTTTGAGAGAGACTGTCGGACAGACAAAATATGTATACATATAGACGTGAACACAGTAAAAAAAGAATGAGTTTTGAGAGAAGAATGGGTTTGCAATTGTAAATTTTGTTTTTCATCTGCAGCATTGAGACCATACGATACATTAAAAATCATCTCGGCTTTGGTCATAAATAATTTTTACATCGTTATCTGCATGACATTAAAAGGATTTTTTAAAATTTTGTCATCGTATTACGATTGATTAATGCATTACGATTGATTCAAGTCTCAAATTAAAACATATTGTTAATTTACTTCCATAATAGATCTCTGATATAACTGACACAATTCATTTTATTTTATTTTTATGTTTTTGCTGGGTGGGGGAAATAGAAATATTGGAGAAAAATGAACATAAAGAAAAGTCTAAATAATGTCTGAGAACAATGTTTTGTTTTAGCCTTTCAAAACTTTTTGTGTGCTCTGAAATCTGACAAAGGAAAGACTCTGAACATCTTCTGGTAATTCCTTTTGTGTATCTTACACAAATTGACTAGAACTTGACCAATTAAGACTAATTTAAGATTTTTACCAGTACAAGATGTGAGTGCTGAGGGGATTTTGTTTTGGTACACATGTCAGTCATGACGAAAAATGACTGTTCTATTTATTGTTAGTGACAATAATTAAATATTCTTGAAACAGCCATATGTGGCGTCGTTAAAGTTTACCTTTTAGTCACTGTCATTTACTAATTACCTGTAAACATAAATAAATACAAAGATAGTTAATGTGAATTTGATTAGCCAAATAGCCAAATATGTTTTAAAATGTGCCTGTATTTACATTCTTTTGGTACTCAAGGGGATGGTCGTTTATATAAACTGTGGAACGTCAGGAACCAACATGTCTGTTTCGCTGAGCTACATAACGTTTTATTGGTGAAACGATTAAAGGATGGAAGAGACATATACCCAACACTTGGCTGAGCTCCATGTTTCTGAATCATTTGCTTTTACCAACGCGCGATAGTTTTCAACAAACTTACAGGTTCTCTTTTATCATCCATTTGGAAGAAGCCATTAAAATACATTAATATCTGCCAAAGAAATGTCTGGTTGCGGAATATATTGATATAGAAAGCCATAGTTTTACTCTTAAGGATATCGACCTTGTAACTAACCCTTTCATCCGTTAAGAAAGTTGATAAATACAGCCTAATGCATCTTGCCCAAGAATCAAAGAATGTCATAACTGACTCTGACAGGTACCCTACGTATATAAGGACAGGGATTTCTGAATAAAGAAAAAGAAATATTACTACTTTATGAACAAAGATTTAACTTATTAGATAAAGAAAACTTACTAATAAGTTTTACCAAGAGAATCAGTAATTTGATTGAACAAGAGTGTGCTGACCTCAAACGAATTAATAATACACGACGGAAATCTTCTTCTTGAACATTAATGTGTTATATTCCCTTTTCTCCATCTGCAAGATCTATCTCTAAAATCGACTGTGATGTAAATTGTTCTGGTATTATACCACTGCGACTGTACTGGCAAACTAAAGTAATTGATAACATTTTTAGATGAATAATGGTAGTATACCTCTGCGACTGTACCGGCAAACTAAAGTAATTGATAACATTTTTCGATGAATAATTCAACATTCCTAACATTTGCTTTATTAATCCTGCGATCCTTTGGTATATAACCTTCATTTATTACTCCGCCACTTCTCTTTAGGGGTTTTGTCAAAGTCTGGTTTATCGATTAGGGTGGGCAATTAATGACATGGTCATTATTCTCTTATTTTTTGATTGATTGTTTATTATCTTGACATTCAGACTACCGGGGTTATTTGAGGATGTATGTCGGCGCAGTAACAAGCAGCAAAAAATATATAATTTGTTTGCCAGAAATTTCTGGGCAAAAGCCGATTCGCAATTTTTTGGTTACTCCAATTTGTGTATATATAGCCGAGGTGTTCCGAATAGCAGATCTCTAAAATGCAAACACGAAGTTCAGGCTAAAATACAGACTCACAGACCCAAAAATTTATAAACATGAATCTGCAAAGTCTTTTCTCCCCATAATGATAATTGCACAAGATATCATACGCAGTCAAACCAATGATAAGGCATTCGTCGCCTTTACATTACCTTCCTAGTATTAGCTTGCTACCCGAGCAAACAAAGCTCACTTAGAAATGGTCGAACTGCACCATGAGTTATATAGGCTGGCAAGCATTGGAAAGCTTATGTCTTAAAATAAAAATAGATTAAATATTCAGTACATCAGTAGATTTGTTCATTTTTGTATTGTATCTATGGTGGGTTTGTTACGGTTGGTAACCATGATTCATCAAATTTCATCCAAAATTTATTCGGTCAACATCCACACGAGCCATATAGAATGGCATAATGCATGGCAATTTAAAATTACATTTTGTAAGGCAATTTGAAAACGAAGCCCATATTCAGACTAAAAAGATCTTAACTCCAGAGTCTGGTGCATACCACGAGACCAAAAAGTCAATACCAGCCAGACTGGTTAGAAAATTTGACTGATACATATGAAGGGCATAACCGACATAATTATATGCGCGTATGTTCTAATCTTCTTTGCTGCATCCTTATAAATGTCTGTTTGCAAGTGCTACTTTCATAATTGTATCCATGTATATTACATTGATCCAAATTGTACGTAGCAGTTAGCAAATTCTAATTTTCTACTGTATTATTGTCAATAGCTGCTTTCAAGTGCTACATTCATAATTCTAGTCAGACGTTTCTATTCTTCATTCATACAAGCTGTAAATGGCTGTTTTCAAATGCTTATATCTACTTTTCTTCTGCCTCATTATATCTTGCACTGTTACAATTACTGAATTGTTTCTGTAGTTTGTCGTATGGCAATTACTGTCAGGTATTATTAGTTTTAATATTCTATTTATAAATGTTTTATATTCCAAGTTACACAGATTGCGAATACAAACATCATGATCATAACGTAGAATCTAACACGTTGCAAGTTAGCATCACGGAAGTTAGCATAAAATATTGCCTTATTATAACAACAGATGGCGCTGTGACACGTCAAATTCATACAATACAAAAAAAAATCACAAGATGCAATGTTGAAAGGGAAAATTTGGGGTAAATTTGTGAAATGCATAGAATAACTGGACAAATATCAAGTCCTTAAAAATACAAAGCATTCTTTTCAAATATTTACATAAAGTATGGTTGACCAGGGAAGTCGCAATAAGGAAATGAATGATCCAAAAAGTTCCAAAATGTCCACTTTGTAAAAGCAGAGATTTCAACAAAAATCATGTGATGATAGAATGTGGAAATAATAAGGGGGAAAGAGATCAAATTTAAAAACAAAACTATTCAAGAATCTAACATATACCAGAGTAATCGAATATTGAATGCAAAATTTAAAAAAGAAACCTGCATTGATATAATAAATTTTATATTGTTAACATAAGGGAATGTGGACAGGTAATAGTCATTCGTAAATAACCTGTCTCCTAAACAACAAGTTTTTTAAACCTTTTTTCCCACTAAAATATTCTAATCAACCCTTAATTGTGGAATCCCAGCAGCTAATGCAATTAAACTAACTTTTATATTGTACAGTTTTTGCAGATAGGAAGGGACATGGAATCTGTACATGGATGAAGTAGGAGACAGGAACGCCTCCAGGCTATACCACAAGGCCCCACGCGAAGTTCATGTGCAGAATATAGGCAACAGTACATAAATACATGGGGGAATATTAAATAATTAAGGGATTCCATAAAAACTACAAGGACTAACAAAACTCGTATATACATCAACAATCTTCTGAAACTTTATATTTGGGATATAAATATTTGGAGTGTATGGATATAAGGGCTGGTTCTTGTCAAGAGAAACGAGTCACAGGAATAAATAAAGACACATGACTCCTTGCAAACCGACCTTATAACCAGCCTCCTATACTCAAAATCTAGATAGAATATGAGATGTGATTATGTGTGTGATTATGATTTTTAACGCAGCGTTAACAATTTTTCACTCACAACGGTACGATGTCTGCAGTATGGCAGCTTATAGTGATGTCTAGCACTGGGGCATCATGTCACAGACATGTGGCATGATGTCCGACCCAGTCACATTATCCTGACACCAGGCCAACCAGTCCTAAAACAAACCTCTTAAAGCTGAACGTCAATCGAGGCAGCTGTTAGTACCATTTTTGTAAGTTTTTGGTATGACTCGACCGGGGCTCGAACCCACGACCTCCCGTATCCGAGGCGGACGCTCTAACCACTAGGCCATCGGCGCGGAATCTAGAATATGATAAATGACACGCAAACTAACATCCACTAAAACAGCAGGTATTTATTTTATAAATCTATTACACCATTTTCATACAAAATTCTAAATTTAAACGAAATTGAATTTTAAAAATTTGTCGATGCTTTAATAAAAACTCAAAACATTTTTGGTATACATATTATGCCGTCTCTACATATACACATATATAGCAAACACACAATATAGCAACACACACATAACAATCACACAGGACGTAGGCGGCCCCTGGCAAAGGCCACTGGAAACGAAAATATGATGAACCTTTCTGATCTGATGAATGAAATAAGAGAAGGGAATTCAAATTTTAGATAACGCTAGAGAGAAAAAAATACCCCACTCAAAATCTGGGTTTTTCAACATTCTTTAATTTAAAAAAAAAACACACATTTGCAACACATGAATACATAAAAACCTTTATATTTTGGTTAAGGGGAGGCGTCTGTCTGGTGTTCTCCCTCCACCAAAAACCCAAATAATTTTCGTGTATCAAATTGCATATAATTAAATGTATTTAAACAATGTTATTTTTCCGCTTAACCATCCCACCCCGTTTTTATTTTGACAGTGTGTGTGTGTGTGTGTGTGTGTGTGTGTGTGTGTGTGTGTGTGTGTGTGTGTGTGTGTGTGTAATTTACCTCTGCTGGCAGAATGGCAAAGCTGCTTACAAGAATGGTGTAGGGTACTAATTTGCTTTTATAATCTCATTCACATTGCTATCAATGTAGAGCATGTTTATCATTTTAGATTGCAGTGCTAATTCTGCATTTTGTATCTGTAAAGACCTCAAAAGTTTTGAGCAAATTGCAGATAATTGCACCTCAATGATATACTTCCTACTTCTTGTTTATCAAAGAGAGAGATAGAGATGAGGCGCCTATTTATTCTCTCATCCCTATGAAATTTACTTTTATACTTAATCTGCAGTTTGCATTAGTTAATTTAGAAGTATATATATATATATATATATATATATATATATATATATATATATATATATATATATATATATATATATATATATATATATATATATATATGGCATGGATGACAATACAATAGCCAACAAATATTGTCACTAGTTGTCTGTAACAAGTAAAATTTATCACATTCTGGAGAATGTTTTGTGGGCAATAAAATATATTGTTTGCACTTGCAATGAGCAAAAAAACAAGCAAGAAAAGCATGAAAAGGATTCTGTTTTGTTTGCTAAAATTTGGAATTTCTAATGCTTTCACCTTCACAAAACTATTATATTTATGAACCTCAGATGAAATTTTAAATTTGTCCTGTTATCCCTAATATATGTGCTTTAGAACTAAGGTAAATTCCATACTATGAGAGAGAGAGAGAGAGAGAGAGAGAGAGAGAGAGAGAGAGAGAGAGAGAGAGAGAGAGAGAGAGAGAGAGAGAGAGAGAGAGAGAGAGAGAGAGAGAGAGATTTATAAGCAAGTTTGTTTCTTCACAGAATAATAGAAACTACTATCCGTTTTCCGAGATGTCTGAGCAGGAAGTGACAGTTCATTTATAAGCATGTAACATTTTAGTGTGAGTTATAGGCCCTCAAAGAAGAAAAGACTGGGTTTCAGAACTAAAGCCACACAAGTACCAGATTGTTACTGTGTGAAAACATGGGTCATTACCAGAAAATGGAGATCACATGATATACATACTGGTGATGAGTGCTACAATTGTTGTTCCTAAGTCGTATAGACAGGAAATTCATAGTCTAGCCCATAGAACTACTTAAGCTGGTGGTTTTGGTGTCAATAAAACTGATCACAAGATCCTGATCGTTTTTATTGGCCAGAATGGTAGGAAATCCCAAACAGACGATATCTAAGGCACATCTGCAACCTATTCATGCATTTGACCATTGGACGAGCCATTTAGAAAAAAATGGTCGAATGTCGGTTCCTTACCTTTTTCCAAGTCACGCAACCAATACTTATTGACCATAATTTCTGTGCTTCCTGTGATTTATATATGCTTTTATTGCGAAGAATATAAGAATAAAAACAGTTCTGTAAGTTTAGGTAATGTTTTTAACATATGTTTACCTCCCTAAATATGTTCAGCAATTTTATCTTTGATTATTTTCAACAACTTATGCAAGAATTAGACATTCAACATTTGAATTTTTCTACCTATCACCATGAAAGTCATGGGGCAAACAAATGACTGTCAGAAAACACCCTCAACTACTCAGGATACATGTATACGATTATATTGAATCAAACCTTACAAAAGAGATCATTAAAATCCTGCAGTGTATAATTTCAAGTAAAATAGGGATAGTTTTCCCCCATGTTGGTAACCTTAGGCCAAATAAAAGACCTCGTGACTATTCTAAAACAGCAAAAGACTGTCCCAAATACTCTCAGCTACCCAGGATACATGTAGGCAATTAAATAAAATCAAGCCAAATAAAAAGACAGTGATTAGTAAAATTATACCCTGTCTAATTATCGAGAAAGATCAATCGAGTTTCTTCTCTTTAAGATACATGCTGAGAGAAAGGCATTAAGGCTATCCTAAACATAATCGACCAAGGATACATGGATACATGTATAAAATGACAACAACTTAATGAAATATGCAATTTTGATAAACTCTCTCTCTCTCTCTCTCTCTCTCTCTCTCTCTCTCTCTCTCTCTCTCTCTCTCTCTCTCTCTCTCTCTCTCTCTCTCTCTCTCTCTCTCTCTCTCTTTCTCTCTCTCTCTCTCTCTCTCTCATCATAGATATTTCACATTTATGTTGCAAAGAGCAGCACAATTAATATGTCAGAATCATGCGTCACTACATTCAAATTGTAAATATTCTTAACTTGTTATATTTTTAATCCTTAATGTGACGAAGAGCAGCTGAATAATTAGAACCAAAGGGTGCTATATTTATTGTTTTTCAAATTCTTGAACCAATTTATTATTCATATTTGTTTTGATAATGGTAAGAATTACAATGAATCAAAGTAATATCTCCTGTAACATTGTCTCTTTTGTCTCTGATAATTTCCACGTTTAAGGACAAACGTTTTAAAGGTTGCAGACCAGTTTTAAAGCTGGGTTTGGGTTTGGGTTTTTTTTTTTTTTAATACATTCCAAGGTTGAGGTTCTGCACCTTAACAATGCAAATTACGTATTAGAAAACAATACTACACTAATTATAATACTTCTAATCGCAAGTAAACATTTTTATCATAATACGAACATTTTACACAATTTTATTACTTCAGCTTGTGCGACAAAATATGTTGTAAATGAAGATTGAGGAAAATAATAAGAAAACCTTTAGGAATGCATAATTCTTTTAATGTCACTTTACCAATAAACTCCTTTTTGTGCTACTGATCTTGAGCTGAAATATATATTTTTACGCTGAAGTCTATGCACAATAGTATCAGAGCCTATGTAAAATAGTATGATAGCCGAGGTACAAAGGTATCACAGAAGCCTATTTCCATAGTATGAAAACCTATGTACAATAGGAGCACAGCCCATGTACATTAGTATCACTGGAGACTATGTACAATAGTATCACAGCCTATGTATAATAATATGAAAGCCTATGTACAGTAGTATCAAAGCTTATGTACAATAGAATCATAGGAGCCTATGTACAATAGTACGACAGCCTATGTACAATAATAGCACAGACCATGTACAATGGTATAACTGGAGACTATATACAATAGCATCACAGCTTATGTATCACTGAAGACTATATACAATAGTGTACGTTTGTACACTTTGTATGTACGTTTGTCAACATGCGTCAAAATAGGTGATGTACAATACGATCCTTGCACCCAGGGGTCGTGTAATGAAAACTCGTTAAGAAGAGTACGAGGGAATATACTATTGTCATTTCTGATGCTTACGTTGCTAAAATATATTTTTTAAAAGTAATGAGACATATCAATAAGAAGTAGATGTCTTAAACGGTGAAAGTAAATGCAAACGTACGTCAAAACTGTGAAAGTAAATACAAACGTACGTCAAAACTGTGAAAGTAAATACAAACGTACGTCAAAACTGTGAAAGTAAATACAAACGTACGCCAAAACTGTGAAAGTAAATGCAAACGTACGTCAAAACTGTGAAAGTAAATACAAACGTACGTCAAAACTGTGAAAGTAAATACAAACGTACGTCAAAACTGTGAAAGTAAATACAAACGTACCTCAAAACTGTGAAAGTAAATACAAACGTACGTCAAAACTGTGAAAGTAAATACGCATGTGCGTCAAAACTGTGAAAGTAAATGCAAACGTACGTCAAAACTGTGAATGTAAATACGCATGTGCGTCAAAACTAGGGCTTAAGAAGATGGACCACCTAGATGTAGTGCATGCATTTTTGTTTCTGTAAGGTGTTATAAATCACTTAGATCTTCGAGAAAGCATATGGTTATAGAGAACGATTAAAACTTCGTTGCTAAAGTACAACTTTAAATAAAGGACTGAAAGAGTTACAATGTCTCTCGACACAAAATGAATGCCGTAAAGTTCCGTGGGGAGCATTAATTATTCTGGTAAAGGAAAACGTCCGAAATTTAGAGCGCCGTCTGTTGTCATGATGCCATACTGATCTCTAGTTTGCCATTATGACAACAAATGGCAACACGAGTTGGACAACAAAGACGATATTGATTAAACTTAGAATTTACATTGTTGCAAGGCCAATTATATATGAAAACAGCAGCGGGAATGATGTAATTGTAATATGGCAAGATTATATAAACAGACTATAAAATACTTATACCTGACATAATGTTTGCCATACGACAAACTACAGAATCAGTTCAGTGGCTGGCAAACTGCAAGATACAATGACGCAGAATGAATGTAGATCTAAGCACTTGCAAGCAACAATTTACAGCTTGCATCAATAAGAATAGAAAACTCATTAATACATCAATAAAGAATAGAAACCTCCTGACTATAATTACGAATGTAGCACTTGCAATTAGCCAT